TATATATTAGTGCTGTCAAACTATTAAAAATTTTAATTGCGATTAATCGCATATTATCAACAGTTTTATATATATATATATATATATATATATATATATATATACACATTTTTTACAAAATGTGACAAAACAGCAAAGTTACTCTTATAATCCTTTTTTGATTAAAATCTTTTCCAAATTTTCAGTTGATTAAAAAATATAAAAATATATAAAAAAGATATATTTTGTTTTTATACTTTAAACTTTTTTAAACTTTGCTTTCAGTTTTTTTGTTTTTTTTTACTACGATTTTGCACGGCCTGCTCGGTAGTGAAGCGGGTACCACTTGCAGCAGTGGTACCCGTGGTACCCGGGTTCAATTCCCTGCCTAGGGTCTTTCTCCCTGAGCATGTGTGGGTTCTCCCTGGGTACTCCAGCTTCTTCCTACAGTCCAAAAACATGACTGTTAGGTTAATTGGCCTTAGTGGTGATACTGTGTGTACTTGAATGGTTGTCTCTGTGTTGCCCTGTGATGGACTGGCAACCTGTCCAGGGTTGACCCGCCTCTCAACTGACAGCTGGAGATAGGCACCAGCACCCCTCGCGACCCTGCTTGGGATAAGCGTGATGGATGGATGGATATTTTTGCACCAAAAACAGCATCAGAGTATTTGGCCATGAAAAATAAAGAGGCGTTCTTTCTCACCAAAATATAACAATGCTTTTTAATGTAAAAAAATCCAAAATTGCACTTTTTTGTTTATGGTGATCATAACCACATATCCAGCTTCAGTTTAATTACTGTAAATGTAACCAGAAAGCTACAAATGTATCCTTTTTTTCATCTTCTTTGAAAGGAACTAAAATACTCTCCATGTATTTAAACAACTCATAAAATAAACTTAGACAATCAGCCACACAATCTGCGAAAGGTGACTGTTTTAATCTGACTACCTAATAGTAAAATTACTACAATAATGGTTTGTGACTTAAACATATAAAGAAAGGAGAAAACAAAACAGAATTCACCTTAATAGAAACAAAGCAGTTTACAACTTCCAACCCATTCCTAGCTGAAAAAGCTTTGAAAACTGGAAGTCATATTTGATCCATATTTAACTGGGAGGCCATGGATTTAAAAAAAAAGACATTTCCATCGATAACCAATGAGAGTAAGTAAGTACTGATTTAAAAATTTCCCCTGACTCTAAAATAAAAAGAAAATAAATAAAAAGAAAAAAAAAAATCCTGATGAAATTTTGGAGGTGCCTGTCACTTGGTGTGTAGTTGACACCAAAGGTTTCATGAGGTTAGTTAGGTTTAGCTCACATCAGGTAAGATGGTAAAACCTGGTGGAGATTTATTTCGACATACCTGCTGACATCTGCCGTTGCCACACCTGGTGACTTGCTTGACCACCCCTGATGCTGACTGGAATTGTTGGAGCTTTTGGTGACTATCGTCACCAGGTAAACTGAACGGCTAATGCAAGTACTGTCCAAATGTTCTTCAGGCATTTTTGGATAGTTCAGTAGATGTCAGCAGCTTATATATGTATGTTTCCAGTTTAGTGAAGTGTGCTCTGTAGTCCAAAAAATATGTTGCATTATAAATCTGGGTTTGTTCCTTAAACTTTTTGGTGCTTGAACAATAATTTTCGAAAAACCATAGCAGGTATGAATATACCGTCTTATATTTTAAGAAGATGAAGGACTTATCTACATCCAGAGCTTTAAACTGTTGTTGTAGGTGCATGTATGACCCTGCAGCAAAGCCTCCAAAATATGGTATATTTATGTCTTTATATCTTTCCCCCACTTTCATTCCTATGATATTCTTGGGGCATGGTTTTAGTGAATTACATTGCCATGGTAACATGAAATGGGAATAAAAGTGATAGCAACCAACCAAGACAAATGTTTTAATACCTATATTGTGTGGGTGTGTCCTACGTTACGGGCTGTATTAATGTTGATTATATAACAATAAATTAAGAGTCCATCTTCTCAGGAGAATAATAATAGCTGCCTCAAAGTGAATGCCATGTTACCAGCTGCATTTTCAACTGGCAGGAAAAAAAGAACAACAACAATAGCAGTCAGTGTTTGGACATGCAATGCCCCGGCAATGGGCTTCTAGAGTACAAGAGCGGGACAAAATTACAGCTTTCATGATGAAGAAGGGAAGGAAGGCATTTGAGGCAATCGCACATAATCAAAACAGTACAGAGTCAAGAGAGCAGCAGGAAGTCACGAGTAATGGGAAAGGAGGAGAGGATGAAGGTGGAGACAAACTGAGTAGAGTCACTGTGAACTTTTTCTGATGACCTGGTAAAAAGCGAACAGGGAGTTTGTGTTTTTTAGACCATAATGCTTAAACTGACTCAAAGGAATTTGCTTTTAAAGGATGTCTGTCGCACAGATGTTATGCATCCAGCTAACGTTTCCATCCAGAATAAATAAAGCAAAAGTTTACACCAGCATCACCATTGCAAGCAAAATTGTTTAACTTTAAGCCACTAGGGGCACTACACCTCTTACTTCCAGACTGCATTGATTGTTGCTGAAGCAGATTGAGAATTTATTGAGTTTCAGGCAAAAACTGAGACACATTCACCTCCTAGAATAAACCCTCCATCAGAGATGATCAAATAAA